TCTCACTTTTTATCAATCAAATTTAATAAAGGAATATTTTAAGTTCACAATAATATAAAAGGAAAGTATACTTTGGTTTATCATATATACAGATAAAAAATCCTGCTTTTTTTAATTATTAAATACATACATTTAGATCTGAAATTAGAAATCTATTTATATTGCCAAAATACTACAGTCCAGGTAAATGAACTAAAAACACCATTTGAAAAATGTATTATAAATGAAATTAATAGTTTATTTCTTGATTCACTTGTTTTACAAAGCTAATAGTAATCAGGGTTCGGAAGTAGTTAATTAAGACGTAATTTACCTGATTAAGTACGTGTAGTTCTTCTTCAAAAACTACCTTTTTCCCGTTCATTAACTACATAAAAACTACTTTAATAAACTACATATTAATATTACGAAAAAAATATCCTGTAGGTTAATTTTGATAGAAATAATGTAATGCATATTGCTTTTTATTTAAGTAAAGAATTATTTATACATTCATAAAAAAACAGAATATAATGTAGGTACACAATATATTAAAATTATTAAAAAATATGAAAACTCAAAACATTTTAATATCTATAAGTCACCTAGTTAGTAATCTTTGTCAAGACTTTGTAGAAAGTACAATATGATCAAAAAAAAAACGGCGTCAGCGATGGCTAAGAAATAAAGATCGCTGTCATTTTATATGTAAAATTATATGGGGAATGTCATCGATCATCATTTCCAAGCCAACTAGACGCCGTTTTTTTGTTTCGATCATATGGTATTTTTCAACCTGATTTATAATATGGTCATCAGTTTAATAATTTTCCGTTTTAGGAGGGGTCTAAATAATAAGATGTGAATATTATATTTAAAGCTATATTTCTTCTGTTTTCTCAAATATGTTTATATGTATTTTCTAAAGCTTTCACTTATCTTTTACCTCACCTCAAACCTTTCATATTTGAAAGTTACATAAACTACACCCTCCACATCGATTTACTACATGTAATATAGTTTATGTAGTTTTTAAGAGTAACATGTAGTTTTCCGAACCCTGATAATAATACTGATCAAAGTATCAGTCATGCTTGTTATTTTCTAAATTCTTTAAAATGCAATGAAAATAAAAAAAAACATTTCTAACTTTTATCTGTGTTCAATATTAAAGTTATTAACTTGAGTTGAGAAACAGGTTGAGCTTGAAGTAATAAAATATTGTTTTAATGAGTAAAATACGAGGTATATTTTACTAGAGAACTTGCAAACTGATCCTCTTGAAAGTAGCTTTGGAAAATATAGACAGTTAGCTGGGAGTTAGTACAGTATTTGTGTGGAAATAAAAGAAACTTAGACACACTTACAGCATAAATAAATACAATGACGATGGGTAATGTGAGATGGGATATCAATCGCATGTTTTTAAAATTTCATGTTTAATTATTATTTATTAAAAATTCGGTGCAATTAAAGTTTATATCCATTATATACGTATAAAGTGTATCAAATGCAATAAAAGTTTAGGCCTCCAGTTGATGACGTCACGAATAAGCTGTTCGGCCTTGTTATTACGGTGGTTACGGTAATATACAGGAAGGAACTCAGTTATATTAGAATGCCACTTTATCTAGAGAAGAAAACATTCGACCAACATGTACTACCAGTCATGACCTATGCATGCGAAACATGGACACGTAAAACGAGCATTATAAGGAAACTGCAAGTCGTACAATGCTCAATGGAACGAAATATGCTGGAAATAACCAAGAAAGACCCTAAAAGAATACAGTGGAAACGACAAAGGGCCCAGGTAATAGATGTCATCCACAGAATCCAATCCCTCAAGTGGCAATGGGCAGGACACCTGGCAAGAAGGACGGACAACAGATGTACAAAAAAAAATACAGCGTGATACCCATGAGGAATTAAGAGACCTAGAAGAAGACCAAACCTGAGGTGGAACCATAATATTAGACAATTGGCAGGCATAAGTATGCGGGCCATAGCCAACAATAGACAACAATGGGCCCAACTACAAAGAGGGTATCTAAATTATGGAGGGAGGTCTAAATTTAATCTTCTCTGTGCTAATACCTATGTTGTCACATTTTCAAAATATTATGTAAATATAAAAATAAATGTGAAAATAATTAAACATATTTTTTTTTCGTAAAAAAACCTCAAAGACGTATTCCTGGAATGGACTTCTAAAAATATGTGCAGTTATTTAAGACTCATCCTATGTCTTGTACAAGTGTTACGTTAAATCTAATTTAATATACAAAATAATAATGCATAGTATTTGAAAACCGCAGCTTCTCCATATAAATCGATTATTCAAATTTGAATCGCAAAGTTAAAACAACAGAGCTTTATTGTGCCGAATTCCTCCTTTTGGAAAAGGCGTTGTTATGCCAGCCAGCAGCGCTGCAAAGCCCTATACAAGTCAATACTTAATCATATCAAGCTCTCTCAAAAAGAGAGGGAAAAAAGAGAAGAGCTTACAATGCGTTCTCGATATTTAGATTAGAGCAGCCAAAAGCGAATTTTTTGCTAGACCGACTTCAAAGGTCCTTTATGGACGGTAATTCTGACGGTTTTCGAAAATACCGTCTATGGTTTTGGAATAAAGTGAGCTAATATTTGCAAATACGCTTTTTGGTGGGTTTAAAAAATCATGGCTTAAAATCGTTACTAGAAATTTAAAAGTTTAATGTACAGTATGTCCCCGGATTGTCTTTACAAGTGGAAAAGCTTTTTTATTATTGACATTCTTAAAAAACGCAAATGCTGCTTATTCTAAAATGGTTAATCCCGTTTATACTTTTTCAAATTTCCATACCGTTTTAGAGAAAATTAAAAAAAACATGAAAATAATTTATAATTTTTCCTAAAAATCAAAACTCATATTTCATATAATTTATTTTTTATTTTTTGAGACTATTATTGATAGAATTTAAATTAATGTCATATTCTTTGCTGTTCTAACATATTTAAAAAGTACAAAATTTATTAACTTCAATGCTACGGAGAGGGTGATAATAGTTATCGGAAACTGTGATACTTTAACAACAGCAAAAATATGACGTTAATCACAATTAATAATAACCATCCATCAAAAAATGAAATCGAAGTTATGTCACTATAGAAAGCCATTTGAATTTTAGGAGTTGTGAAAAGATAATTTAACTCTATTTGCCTGTTTTTTTTTAAACGATATGGTAATTTGGAAAAGTATAAAAGTTATTCACCATTTTAGAACCATTAAAAATCTTTATAAGGAATGTATTTTTCTCATAATGTCAATAATATAAAAGTTTTTCCTCTCGTAAAGACAATCCGGAGACATACTGTATATTATTTCAAATTCAGTAGCCTGAATTATGTAACTTAGAAAACGCTAAGCGCTTTTAGATGCTCAGCCTATATGACGTTAATTTTCGCATAACGCGCACTTAACTACCGATTTGGGTATTCTCATCTGACGCGCTTAGCGTCTTTACTGATTGCGCTAAGCGATTCCAAAAACTGCTACCTTAATGGATCGTTTTGCTTGTCGCACTGGCAGTGAAAATAGAAAAAAAAATCCAATTTTTTGTGTTCTCTTGCTATTTAGTGAAAACCAATTCTTTTTCTATAAATTTCTCAATAAAGGGAGGGGAGGCAATTGGTAATTTACGACTTGATAGCTATAACTATCGTTCAAATCATGGAAAACGCTGAGAAGCGTCTTTAACATTTCCCTCGTATAATAAGAATAATGACATATCCATAGAAAAATAGGTTGACGTAACACAACAATAGGTTATGAAATTCACGTAACATTGACATTTTTCATTGTTTTACCCACATTTGTCTATTAGTTATCTGAGAAGTTGCGATGCAGCCAATATGTGCTCAACGCGTATCCAGAAAACTATCCGCACGGCAACGAGATTACCAAAATCACCTGCTTGGCGTTCCGCTAATCGAATACTTTCGCTTACCGCTTTGAAAGCGTAACGTTTTTATGTCGAAGTTCGAGACTGATATTGACACATGATACAGATTTTGAAATACTTTATAGTTATTTTTTATACAAGACGATAAAATGGTATTGAAATCGTGGGTGAGTTAAGTTCGGGAGACGATAATGCAATTTTATCGTCGTGTATAAAACAATATTTCTTTCCATAGCGAGTTACGTTTTAAAAAATATTCAGAAATTATTATTTCAAGGAATTTATTACGAGTAGAAAAAATATTGTGCTGGGTTGGCGTTAGTTTCTATGTAATTTGACAAATAAATAAAGCTGTCTCTTTAGTTGTCAGTTTCGAGTCAATATCTTTTAATTCCCTTTCATGTCGATTGCTGATTGAATTGGAGCCAGAAATGGCTCAAAACGAAATAAGTAAATTACTAACAGATATTCAGGCTGAGGCGACAAACGCCATATCCAAACTACTTCCATTTAAATCCCGAATAACTTATGAAAAGGAATACAAAAATTTTCCAAAATGTACGCAATTACAAAACGTGCGAGAAGAAAGATCAAGTAAAAACATACTTTTAGCACATTTTTTTTGAAAAATCAAGGAAAATGCAGCCGTCCAGTTTATGGTCGCACTATTCAATGCTAAAAAGTACAATACTGGTCAATGAAAACATTGATATTTCAAGGTTATAAGCTATTACAACTATAAGATATTATAAGCTATACCGTTTAAATTTCCGTAGTAGTATAGTAACATCTAAACTTTGTAGAAATAGCAAGCTAATAGCTTTCTTGAAGCAGTCATGTAGCGGTTACAAACCGAAAACGTCAAAAATTTTAAACCCAGAAGATGTTGTGAAATTTCTCTGCACTGCTTTTTTGCATTTAATCTACCCTTGCGGTTAAAGTTCTAGTTTATCTACTATTTTTGATAGACATAAGGCAATTTTGACAGTTGCTATGGAAAAAAATATAAAAAATGTTCATTTTTTATATTTAACTAAAAAAAATCTAACAATTTAACTTTTTGATGTTTATTAACATTAGTAATTTTATAAATCAATTATATAATTAATAACTAATTACTCTAAATCAACTTATCGTTGCTTCATTATAATTTTCATTCTTGTCCCTGTAAGGTAGCAGTAACGTTAAAGTCCTCGTTCCCTCCGAATACAAAACCAAATAATTACTTATATAATAATTAATGAGACTGTTCAAATTAGCGAAACACTTCTCGTTGCTCTTCTCCGTCCCTAAGGCGATCAAACTGTCCTTTTCCCGTCTTCTGACGTTCAAATGGTAAACCTTGCAGTCCTGGACCAAAGATAAAGTCGCCAAATTGGCATTTTTCGACGGTCTTATAATGAACGTCCCGTTCTGTTTATTCTCGAGAAGTTTTTCGGCTGCCTCTCTGCTGACGTTCTGATAGAAAGATTCGGTTGACTCCCTAATCAGCTCTGGAAAAGATATTGAGAAAAGTCGACTTTTTTTAAACGTCTAGATAGAGGTAAAAATATTGTGATAAAGAAGAAAGTTTGTCTTGCTTTTTGTCTCCCTTTTTTTAAAAAAGTTTCGATAAAACTCTCTAGAAAACTTTACTGCTTTTTTATCTTTGGTTAAACTTTTATTACATTTATTTAGGTGGAAGAAGTTTCATTTAAGGGATATTAAAAAAGTTTGCATAAATTGATTTTGTTGATGTCAGAATATGTTTTGTAAATGATAAAATGAAAATAAAAATAATATTAGCTAATCTAATTAACAAAATTCTCGTGCCACAGTGTTAGTTACCATACTCGGCTTGATTTTTATGAAATTTTATATGTATGTATATTCATTGTTTCGTAGACTATAAAAAAAGCTTTCGATAAAGTCAGATGGCATCACCTGTGGAATATCTTAAAGGAAGTGGGGGTACCGCAACACCTTATTTCACTTATCATTGAGTTGTATCAGCACACTACAGGATCAGCTAGAATACTGGATTCAGCTTCAAAGGAATGTTTCCCTCGAACAAGGAGTCAGACAGGGGTGTATATTGTCTCCTCAACTATTTAACATATACGAAGAATACATAATGAGAAGGTCGCTAGAAACATGGGAAGGAGGCATTTCAATAAATGGCCAAACAATAAATAATCTACGCTTTGCAGATGATACAGCACTACTCGCTAACAGTCAAGAAGAGTTAACCAATTTAGTAAATAGGGTAGAAAACGAAAGCAATCGCCTCGGTCTGGAACTAAATACGCAAAAAAAAAACAAAATTATGATAGTTGATAGGCAACATAACAACCATCCAAATATAAGTCATATCGACCGCTTTGAAGTCGTTAAGTCATACGTATACCTGGGATCACTATTGACAAATACAGGCACATCGGAAGAAGAGGTGAAGCGTAGGTGCAACATGGCAAAGGTAGCTGTTGGGAGACTGACCAAGATCTGGAAAGACCGCCAGATTTCAAGAGCCACCAAAAACCGGCTAGGCAACTGTTTGGTACTCCCAATATTGACGTATGGCTGCGAATCGTGGACTCTCAGGCAGGCGGAACGTAAGAAGATCGATGCTACCGAGATGTATTGTTATAGACGTATGCTCCGTATCCCATGGACTGAAAGCCGTACAAACGTTTCCATTATAAATGAACTTGATATTACTAACACAGGCTTTCCTGTAAAATCCGACTAAAACAACTAAAATATTTTGGACATATAATGAGAAAAAGTCCGGACAATCCTGGAAAGACTCATAATTCAAGGCAAGGTGGAGGGACGTAGACCACGTGGCCGCTCTCCAACTCGATGGATAGACCAGATCACGACTAGCTGTAGCAAGCCAATGCACGATGTCATCGAGATGACAAAAGACAGAGGCGCATGGAGAAAAATCATCCATGATGTCATGTACGCTGACCACTACACTCCCTAATGGGGGTCAGGACTGAAGAGAGAGATTCAGTAGGCCTGAGAATACGTTGTTATCTATTTTTTATATCCCTAAGTGATAAGGGTGGTGCACCCCAATTTTTTTTTTATTTTTTGAACGAAATTTTTTATTTTTATTTCTTTACACTCACCGGCACGAAAAATGGGCAGCTTAAAATTTTCATGTATTTTGAAGTTTTTTTTATATTGGATTCCAGTGCACAGATTTTGATATTTTTAAGCAATTTTTAGCTAAACTATTTGAATTTTTAGTATATCTTTCTAAATTAAAAATGAAAGTTTTCTGTCTATTTATACGAGGGACAACAAAATCTTGATATTTTGGTGAAAGTTTGGAACACCCTGTGGAGTACGTTAACAATGCAAAGGATTTAAAAATTATTTTATCATCTAGGTGTATCTCTTCTCAATTGTTTGTTTTTTGATTTATCTCAATAGCTGTAGTTCTTTTGGAGATATTCGCTTTTGAAGACGACACTAACAGTTTTTCGTATTTTTTATATTAAAACCATGCCTTTGCTTTTGGTCCTAGTTAACAGACCTATAAAATAGTGTTTATGATTTGTGTAATGACACTGTCTTTGAAAAATCATATTATTATTGCCTGTTGTGCAGTTATTCTAGGAGATATGATTTTAAGTCAAGGTTGATCTCTACCATGATCAATTAAAGCAGCAATAGCCGATACTTCAGTAAGAAAAAAAAAAGAAATATATTAAAATTATACATAAATATTCCTACAAGAATGTTCTATTTTTTGCTAACAGAATAGATTTTTTAATAATATAATAAAAAGTAAAAATTTTTACTTTTTTTATATATAAAAAGTTTTCGGTGAGTTTCTTAAAAATTGTTCATGATTTTTTATTTGTAAATTTTTTTATTAAGTTTATTTCGTAAAATTTTTGCTCGGATATGAAAAGAAAAAGTTTTGCTAAATATTGATATTACAAAGTATAAAAAATTAGAAGGTGAAAAAATATTTGTTGAAAATTATTAAGATTCATAATATAGAGATTTTTATAAGGAGTTATGAGCGAGGCTGGTCTTAGTCTTGATCAAGACCAAGCATGCAAGACTTTTGCGGTCTTGAAAAAAAAGGCTGATTCAATATAACATATTAAAAAAAATATTTTAATATAAGAATTTCTTTCTTAATAGTTTTATTTGCATTTAATTACTAAAAATACTATTTATTTAAAGATTTTCTATGTAGAAAATGTACCTAGTAAAATCTATTAAAAAAATGCAGGATTAAAAAACATAAAATGTTAGAACTTTGTTGTTAGTGTGACTTTCATTAGACAAGTATTGGCGACGTCTTTTAAATAATATTGTCAGGCCAATAAATCAAGCTGTTACCACTTAAGCAGTATGTTATATAACCACTTAAGCCTTTTCTTCTACAATTGCCTTTAGTTAGATGAAATTATCATTTTATAAGCCTGATAATATAATTTGCAGGTGAAATATACAGGAGGTACAGCTGGTTCCAATAAAATTGACTACGATTTAAAACATATTTTTATTATTTCGGGCAGTATATTCTATGATACCTGTCCCCCATTTCTCTACTCATGTCATGCTGACGTTCTGAAAAATGTATTTGCCACTTTGTCAAAAGCAAAGTTGTTTTATACAATGTCACAATAACCTTAACATGTCCAAATACTTGACACATAAATATACACTGCTCAAATATTCGAAAAGAATGTGTAAAGAGTCGTATTCATTTTTTTTGGAACCAGCTGTACATGAATAAATGCGAAGAAATTCAAGGTATTATTCTATTGCAAAATAAAATCACTAAATCACCACAATACACCAAAACACTTTTACTTTTACACTGGACGCGCGTTTCGCTAACCATTTTAGCATCATCAGCAGATGATTATAAACTAAAGCTCAACTGTAATATTATTCTATTTCTAAATATAAATAACATTTTTCTTTTTAATTTTGAATTTGATGATTCCCTACAACGTTATTTACTTGTACAGGGTGAATCAAAACCACAATATTATCGAAATTTTCAAAAAGAGATTTGTACTAAAAAGTTGATAGTTAGATTTGCCGCATACAGGGTAGTCAAACAGCTATTTAAACTTTTTTCGCAATATGTTTACAATTTTATTATCTACAGGGTGGTCCAAACTGTATTCCGGAAACTTCGGCAGCATATTTTGTAGATGAAAATAAATAAAAAAATTCATATAAATGTCATATGATTGTGTTCGTATGTCCTAAAATGCTTAGTTTCTGAGATACAGAGTGTAAAAGTTTCATTTTTATTTCTATTTTTTCCAAATAATTTCTAAGTAACGTTAATATTTGGATGAAAATTGGTGTCTGGGAGTTTTGTGACATGAGAAATTTGATTTTCATGTCAGTATTACTTCTACTTGTAGAGGGCGCCACCTACATATTTTTTAACTGGTTTGAAGAGTAATAACTTTTCTTCCATACCTGTATAAAACTACTGAGTAAAAAAATATACATTTACGATTTTTTTAGGTAAAAAAGATCTCTTGGTAAATATCGCTATGATTAATGTATTATTATTGTACGATATTTGGAATCGAGATCAATACCTGTCAATATTGCCATAAACATGTTAACTAAAAACTTATTAATTAAAATCAAAATGTGTCATTAAAATCAAAATTTAAAATATTTTTGCGCCAAAAGTTCAACAGAAACTGTTATATAATTTAAATTTATAAATTTATAATTAATTTAAAAAAAATAAAAATGTATTATTTCAGTCAAATAACTATACTCAATAATGACATGTATTGACTATTTCCATTCTAAATATCTCGAGAACGGTTGCTCGCAGCGATTTTGTATATTTTTTCACTCAGTAGTTTTATACAGATATGGACGAGAGAAGAAAAAAAAAAGTTATTATTACTCTTCAAAACAGTTAAAACACATGTAGGTGGCGCCCCCACAAATAGGAGTCATATTGACATCAAAATCAAATTTCTTGTGTCACAAAAATCCCAGACACCAATTTTCCTCCAAATATCGATGTTACTTCAGAAGTTATTTGCAAAAAAGCGAAATAAAAATGAAACTTTTACACCCTATATCTTCGAAACTAAGCATTTTAGGACATACATTTATACGGAGTTTTTTACTTATTTTTACCTGCAGAATATGCTGCAGAAGTTTCGGGTATACAGTTCGGACCACCCTGTTTATAACTTTATATGAAAACGCAAAACTGATAAATTTTATACGAAAAAAAAACAATTTATTTTTATAATATAGAAAATATGTACCTTCGAATTTTTTCGCACTTTTATTTACTCATTTTATTGTATAGTTTTTTTTTCTTAAATTTTATTTTGATTTTATATTGTAATTTTTGTAAATAAATACCGTTTATGTTATCTAGGACAGAAAGTAATAGAGAAATAGTAAGTAAGGATGGTAAATTATTCGCAATAAGAATCACAATTAACGCAAAGTAGTGTAGAAGGTACATTTATTAAAATCCTCCACCGTTGTTTTTACTTACTGCATTCAACCTCCTCAGCTATATCTTCTCTTCTCTTGCAACAACAGAACAAACACATCCTATACACGACATCTACCAATTCCGACTTTATTCTTACGATAAGGTTGGCCAGCACGCGAAAAAATACCTTGAAACACAGACACATCTGCTTAGACTCGCAACTCATTGCTCACATTGTCTTGCCATTACTGTCATAGAGTCGAAAGAGACCAAGACCCCGTTTTGGGATAAGTAATGAATATGTGTGTTTTGTTTTGATCCGTCCATCTGCACGCAGAAGGGCCTGTGCTTTTTTTGATTAGACAATAAGAGGAGATTTCCACCAACGGTCGAAGGAGTAGATATGTATTTACTAATATTAACTGTATATTAACTTAGTTTAGAATATTAATAAGTATTTTGCTGTAAAATGAGATGATTTTTGTAATTGTATATGTCCAAATATAAATATTATATTTATATAAACTTCTAAAATCACATTGTAATTTAAAATTTTCTTACGCTCACTCTATAAATGTAATAAATTTCGCTTTTTCTATTTTTTTTGTTTAAATTCAGAATTTTAAAGAATTGACTAATATCTAACCTAAATTAATGTATGAGTTATTTTAAAAATTACATAGTATTGCATTTAAAATGACGTTTCAAAAGTTTTTATTTAAAATAAATATTTAAAATAGACCAGCAATATTTGATCAATTTTTTTGAAAAAATGAAATAAAATACCGGGTGTTCAATAAGAGAAAATATAACTTTGGTGTGGATCTTCGTACTGACATACCCTGTACATTTCAAAATAATCTTAAATTATGCACATTGCCTTCCCACATATACCCATAAAATATTTTGTTTCTACATCTTTCCATTTTCGTATAATCAACTGAGGTGAATTAGGTGCGCCACCCTGTATACCTTATGATCGAAAATAGAACGACGGCGACGTCAAATGGTCATTCTCTACCCATCTTTGACGCCGTTTTTTTTTCGATCGTATGGTAGTATAACATACATATAATGTATTGTGTTTTTAGGGTTATTTTTATCTTTTTTTACTAAATATCAATTTTAATCTTATTAGCATTACACAGGGTGAGTTTTAAAAAAGGGCAATTTGGAATTTTTTGGAAAAAAAATGTTTTTTATAATTCTAAGTTGAAAACATAATATATTCATAATGTGACAATATCCGTATAGTAGATTATATTCACAAGAAAGAAAACCCAGAAAAGATACCACTGTATTTACAGTGGTTTTTTTTAACCAATTTTTTTTTCATAAATTATCAAAGCAAAATAACTCGATTATTTTGGAGTTATTTGAAAAGCGGCAAAGAGAATATATATGTTTCTTTTATCGTGATCTACCAGCCCTAAAAATATTTGCAAAAACTATTTAAGACTCACCCTATATAATTAACAATAATAACAAATTTTAACTTATAATATATATTACCATTATGAAGAATAAATCTTGATATTTATTTTAAGCACTTTTTACAGATCTCAACTTTTATGTGTTTCATAAACCACTGGCGCTATAACCCGCCGCCATAATGTCATTTGATACGGTAATTTCATCATAGCAACTGCAGTCGCATCGGCCTTATAGAACCGTCTGTTTTTTACCTTTTCCAGAGAACATTTGTTTGTCTTCATAGAAGCTTTAATAACACTCTTTCAATACACGCTCACATTTGCAATAAAAATATCTATGAGAAATGCGTTTATGGAATGGGAATATGAGAATGTTGAGTAATAATGCATTTATAAGAAGTAAATAGAGATATTATGAAACACAAAATTTAATTTATTTTTTATTTTGTTTTTCTTTAAGGAAGATTTTAAAATTATATTTTATATAATTATTAAGGTAAGGAAAAATGCGCATTTAAGTGCATTGAATTTTGTGTGAAAAGAAATTCTAAAAATATCCAATTATTCCTCAATTATTTTGAATATTATTGTGATTTTAGAAAATCCAAACTTTTATTCATTTCATAAAATTATACATAATTAATTAAATAAAATGGTTAACAAAACTATGCCAAACAGTATATTAAACATAAATCATATACTTACAATATACTTACAATAATTTTAGAAACAATTAATTTCTAAGTAAGTTTATTTTAAGTTTTCTAGAATGAAACTTTGACTTTTGACAATAAGGCTTTATCATTTGTTTCACGAATTATGGCAATTCTAGTCATCTGGGTTTTTCCCGAGCCCCGTTTTATATTGTCTATTTACCAATACATAGAGAAACTGTATACTCTGTTTTTTTTTCTCACGTAAGATTTCGACAGACGATGACAGAAGAAAAGCAGAGGACGTCCCATACCAATCTATTTATTTTACTAAAAAAAGTTTCTAATAATTTTTAAGTTATCTATGGATGGGTTTAAATATAAATCCGACATGCGTCGGGTCTTGTTGTTTTTAACCAGTTTTATTGGTTTATTTAAAAAATGACAGATCGTATTTCAATTTTATTGGTTTGACGGAACGATGAACGATAAACGGACGCCGATGCGTGTGAACTCGCCTTTAGATTTTTGTCATTTTTGGCGCTTGTCAAAGTCTTGCCAAATTATAGGTTATAATTTTGTGTCAACTTTTGTTAAATACCCTGCGTTTTGGAAGATGATGCTTTTTGATTCGTATTACGTGTGTTTTGTGTCTTTTGAAGTCAAGTGGAGAAAAAATCGAGTGAAAATTAACTGTAGACCCAGAGCACAGTTTATGGTTAATACTCGCTGCCCAGGCAGAAAGTCTTATACACCAATGAAGTTGCCATCGATAAAGTTTGTATACCATTTCGTCGTAGATAAGTGCATCTCGTATATGGTAGAAGGATCAAACTAAACACATACTAAAAACTGGAGTAGCTGTAAAATATCGACATCACACGATAGGTAAATAATGGATTTTAGTACTACAGAAAAATAATGTCAAAAGGTACAGGTTTAAAAAAATTAAGATTAAAGTTAATTAATCGACCTTTAAGGTATAAAATTTGGTAGGTGTTATTATTAATAAAATAGTTTGTTTTATTTACCTATGTTGTTTTATTTATTCCTGTGGAATATTACAAATTTGTATTTGTACATAAGTTATATTGATAAATATAATCATAAATGCGGGTAGTTTCATAAAGCTTGAAAGTAAAAAATAGTTCTTTTTTATATTTTTTTTGGTATGTAGTGTCTTTTTCTTGTTTGTTTTGTATTAACACATACCGGTTTTATTAAATAAAATAACTCGATTACATTTTTTCAGTTTTATACAGTTTTTTTCACAATATTTTGAAGTAATCACTTGTCATCTTGTCAATCAAATTTTAAATATTTCCTGCTATGCGTTCCAGTTGTACCAACTTATTTCTTTGTAAAATAAAATATACTACTTTGAAATTAAAATGACAGACACATCTATCACTGTCAAGGATCTTCTCGTTGGACAGACTATACCAGTATTAGGTACAATTTAACCAGGTAGTTTATTACAGACCCAGGAAAATACCATATGATCGGAAATAACGGCATCCAGTTGGCTTGGAAATGAACATCGACGACATTGCCTATATAATTTTCATTTATAAAAAATATCAGCTATCTTCATTTCATAGCCATCGCTGACGCCGTTTTTTTTTTCGATTATATTGTAGTTAGCCTATTCGCTTCATATATTGTTTTCACTTTGGTAACTAAAAAAATCGGCCCAAAAATATAAAATTAATTTAGTTAATAGAACACGGAAACTCAATAAACATAATAGTAAACAAGATGGAAATACGCACACAACATGCTTCACCCCTGATAAAACCTGGATGATGGCTTATTTAAATCGCACACAAACAGGTAAAATTAGCTATTTATCTCTGTCTGGGTAAAGTTAGGGTTTCCAAAATAAAATAAATGGCATGTAGGGCCCTTTTGTATGCTGTAGGTGTGGTGTGTACTTTAGTTTAACGGCTTTATTGATTACACTCGCTGGAAAATTATACCGTCGATTGTTTTCGGATTGATAAATTTATAATGAACACAGATCTTTTCAAATAAAATATTAAAAGTTTAATTATTTCGTACCTACCGTTTGTTATTTTTAAATTGGCCCACCAAAAAATAGAAAAGTGCTTTAAATAATAGATAGATATTGAAAACAAGAATTTATATTAGAGTTCTCAGGTGGCTATCGGCCCGTTTCACTGTGACATTTTCAGAAGTATTTTCAGCATTTTTTAGAAGTACTAAAAATCGTCACATTAAAAATATTATGACATTAATTAAAATTCTATTAATAACAATCTATATTCTATATATACACTGTTTTTTTTTACTCAGGTAAAATTTCGACAGACGATGACAGAAGAAAAGCAGATGACGTCCCATACCAATCTATTTATTTTACTAAAAACAGTTTTTTTATTTTACTAAAAAAATCCGTCATGCGTCTCTTGTTGTTTTTAACCAGTTTTATTCGTTTATTTCAAAAATGACAGATCATATTTCAATTTTATTGGTTTGACGGAACGATGAACGACAAACGGACGCCGATGCGTATGAACTCGCCTTTAGATTTTTGAGGCTTGTCAAAGACTTGCCAAATTATAGGTTATAATTTTATGTCAACTTATGTCAAATACCTGCGTTTTGCAAGATCATGAATTTTGATTCATGTTATTGCGTGAGTTTAGTGTCTTTTGAAATTAAGTGGAGCAAAAATCGAGGGAAAATTAACTGTAGATCCAGAGCACAGTTTATAGTTAATACTCGCTGCCCAGGCAGAAAGTCACACCAATAAAGTTACCGTCAATAAAGTTTGTATACCGTCGTAGATAAGTGCATCTCGTATATGGTACAAGGATCGTACTAAACATATTGTAAAATATGGAACATCACACGATAGGTAAAGAATGGATTTTAGCACTGCAAAAAAATAATGTCAAAAGGTACTGGTTTAAAAAAATTAAGACTAAATTTAATTAATCAACCTTTAAAGTATAAAATTTAGTAAGTGTTTATTATTAATAAAATAGTTTGTTTTATTTATTCCGGTGGAATATTACAAATTTGTATTTGTACATAAGTTACATTGATAAATATAACATTAAATGCGGGAAGTTTCTTGAAGCTTGAAAGTAAGAACTAGTTCTTTTTATATTTTTTTGGTATGCGGTGTTTTGTTCTTGTTTGTTTTGTATTAACACATACCGTTT